ACACGGTCACAAAGCAAGGTGTTCTCCATTAAACTGGCGAAGATCTATCGTTGGCTCCACGATCTCTAGATGATGTTTACTTTTGACTGTTACACATCTCTTAATCTTTTTCAGACGCGATAATTGTGAGTGATACTGAAAAGAAACAAAAGGTATTCTTTTTTGTTATGGTACACCCATAAAATACGTGTCCTGTTCCGGGAGATCTAATCTCTTTTTTATACGTTTTTATATCCTGCAAGAAACGTCAGTGCATCTTTGTTATTATAAAATTACTGTAAATCGGAAAACGAATTCCATGGAAAAAAGGGGAAGAAACCATTTCTTTTACAACTTTGCTGTGAGGTGAGATCACAGTGATTTAATCATCGCTGTTCTCAAAGTCCATATCTGCACAAACGATGTGACCAAATGATGTGTTTGTCCACTGTTTATAGAAAGTGGGGAACCCGATGTCTTCAAAAGTTTCAGGTAAAAATCCATAATATTTAACTATGGAGGATGGAAACTTCATGTTATAATTTATTGCTGAAGAATAGTTTGCCATTAGAATGTGGAGGTTGAAAGGCAGAAAGTATACGAAAATATAAAAATAACTAGATTCATTTTTCATCGAGTATATACTCTAGTCACGCATAGAGGGTGTCCAAACGTGGAACGTTTGCTGGAAGTTTCACCCGTACATGTCCACTACCAGTCGGTTTTGCTTTTTCATCATTGCCTAATGATTATGTTGTATGAGAAGCAGGAAGTAGATATTTTGTTACATGATATATTTCTTCTTTTCTTCAGCAACTGATAGAAGGCAAGTATCAAAGACGAAAGAGCACAAAGTTGTGCAAAAACGTGTAACAAAGATTTTAGAACTTCGGTATAATCTTTCAAAACCTACGTTATGAAATGTCATATGTGCCGTTTCCTTTTTTTTTCCTTCTGACACAAACCTGTCTTCAGGAAGGGGAAAGAACAAGTTAAAAGATGCGCTTACTCCGGCTGAGGACCTTCCCACGAAAAGAGTTCGCAAAAAGATTGCTATCAGGTACTTAAACTTTACCTGAAGCAAGAACAAATCATGGCATGTTCAATATAAGATTTAAAGGTCCTACAGTATGGAAGTCTATGAGTGAAAAGTCTTTCAAAATTTAAGGAATCAGTGCAATACGATCTCGTTTTGAATTATTATCAGAGATATGTATTTATATCATCTTAGATTGCAATTCTGTCTTTTCCCAAATTATCTTCTTAGTTATTTGTTTGTTAAATNATCTATAAGTCGAGACCCTAAACTTCGGTCTGTTTTAATTGGGAAGGTTCTTAAAACACGTAAATTTAAAATACTCGGTTGTAAGCCGAGACCACATTTAAAGAAATTCACTCTCGAACAAACTGAAATGAACGCAAAAGTTTCGAAACAGAAAAGAGTTTCAATGCAGTATTGCCGTCTAAAACACATTCTGAGATAACCAGAGAGTAAGTCATCAGTGAGTCGCTAGAGGAAAGATCAAGAGAATCTCTTTAATGGAGAGCTCGAGATGTCAGCGAAACGCACAACGATGGGCCGTTACATTCAGAAATATCC